TGTCTATATGAATGATTCGTAATAAAAAATAGTAGAAGTAAATCAAGCAAAAATGAACTTCATTCATGTATATATACACATTTATTAAATTTTTAAGTATATTATTTACATTACATTTTTGTGCCACAAACAGTTGTTTAGTTGACCCTTTTACACTCTCTCTTTTCATAACTTTTTGGTTTTATTATTTATATTTCTGCTGTTTTGGAATAATTGTGTTTTTATAGTCTTCCTCCTTGTAGGTGTGTGGGCCAGGTTTCTGAACACTGAGTAAGTGCAATTAATGTGTAAATGTGGACAGTCATGTGTTGATGGGTTTATCTAACTTAAGTCAGAGCATTGTGGAACTTTAAAACAAGACATTTTTGTATTTTTAGTTTTAATAGACGCTCTATTTGGACTGGCGAGGAAGTTCTGAGCGCTGAAACTTACTGTATGTTTTCATGGCTCAAGCTGTATTTCAAAGATGCTGTAATTTTTTAACACTCTCAGTAATATTAACCTGGCTGTCGGTTAACAGTACTCTGTTTCCACCCCGCTTTTCTCTGTCATCTGCGTTTGTCATTTTCTTGGAAGGAGAGATAGTAGGGAGGATCCCGTCTGTTGTAAAGTGCTGACTGCGCCAGCCTGCCCCCACCTCATCATGTCTAGAATGTAAAAGGGTGCGCTGTGGATGTCTGCTTGCGGGACCATTAGGGGCCCCATCAATATTAAAGAGCTCGGGACGACCCGAGGAACATTCCAGAGGGCAGTCCATTAGCGGCCGACTCCGGCACAGCAATTCAAGGGTTTGTGTGTGTATATGAGTGTGTGTTAGCTTTTCCAGTTCTGTTTTAAATAAGAATCAGTATTTTAAAGTAGCTTTGCATGCCACAATATTCAAACAAATCCAAATGTGGGGTTTAAAGGGATAGTTCAACAACAAAAAAAGACAATTTTGTAATGATTTGCTTGCCATAAACCACAAAAGCAGATGTTTTGCAGAATGTTCACACTGTTATTTTTCAAGCATTGAAAGTAAATAGTGAGAAACACTGCATGTCAAGCTTTTAAAATAATGACTAAAAAGCACCATAAAAGTAGTGATACATACAATTTGAGGGTGAGAGAATGAGGACAAATTGTGATTTCTAGGTGCACTGCTCCCCTAGATGGATTTGATTGAATATTATGGCATGCAAAGTTACTCTAAAAATTCTGATTCTTACTTAAAGTAGAACTGGAAAAGCTAATGCATACCCACATTTGCACAAGCAATATTTAAAGGGATAGTTCACCCAAAAATCACAATTTTTGTCATTATTTACTCACGCTCATGCTGTTCCAAACTCACATTACTTGGAATATGATGCTTAAATTGTATGTATGACTACTTTTATTATACTTTTATGGTGCTTTTTGCATTTTGTTTTTAAAGCTTGGCAGCATTTGTCCCCATTTACTTTCACTGCATGGAAAATAACAGTGTGAAGATTCTGCAAAACATCTGCTTTTGTGTTTTATGGTGATTAAATGATGACAGAATTATATTGTGGAATGCAAAGATACTCTGAAAAGATACTCTGATTCTTACTTAAATCAGATCTGGAAAAGCTAACACACTCATTTACTCAATCATGATTGAAAGGGAAAGTTCACCCAAAAATGATTATTCTGTCATCATTTACTTATCATAAAACACATAGGGAAATGTTTTGCAGAATGTTCCGTTTGCTGGCTGGGGGCCATTTGATCCGCTGCTGAACTACTCTGCTGGGATTTGGAGGCTCTGGTGCGTGGAGGGACTGGGCTCTGTGGGTTGCCTCCTGGCCGGGCTCCTCCTGCGTCTCACCAGGTTCAAGACCTGTGCGTTGCACCTCACTCTCCCGCTCCAAACATTTCATTCTAGCCTGATCACATACAGTAATCTTAACACCATATTCCAAGTCTTGTCTAAGTAAATCATGACAGAAATGTGATTTTTGGGTGAACTATCCCTTTAAGTTGTGAAAGTGAGTGCGAGTATGGGAAAATGGGTCTCCTTTAGCCTTACATTAAACAGATGATTAACTGTTAATTATGTGAGGGCTGTGTCCATTTCCGGCTCTCACGCGAGACCAATAACTGTACTGTGTATGTGTATTTTCCGGCAGAGATTTATCAGCTTCTTTGTGAAAAGGCACAATCATAGTGAACAAAGTTTGTTTGTTTGTGCACGACATTGCAGTGTCTGGATAATTTAATCAGGGTTGTATTACCTCTTTTCCCCTGACACTAGTATTTATTTACGCTCTTGTTCTCTTCAGCCTGCACAACCTTTTGCTTCTTTTTTTCTTCTGCAAAGTCAAGCATCACTGTTACTGTTGCTCTTAAGCTAAAGCATTAAACAGGTGAAAAAAATGTCCCAGCCTTACATTGAAGGATGGGCCCGAGTCATATCTATATCTATAAGCACCTATTATTTTAGTATCATTAAGATTCTGTTTTAAATTAATTTGACAAATAAATAATTAAAAAATACGTAAATTAATAAATTGAATTTATACAATTTTACTTGTAAATCTTTTATATTTTCAGTTTTTATTTCAATGTTAGTACTTTTTTGATCATTTTTTATGTCTATATATCTGTAGATTTAATTCTTTATTATTTATTTTATTAGTTGTTACATCAAGTTAAACTAAATGATTGTGAGAAATGCTGAAATAAAATTATTTCAGTTAAAATTCATTCTGTTTTAAGCAATGATTTTTTTTAATGGTTTTAGTTTGTTAACTATAATAACCACTTGTTGATTTCCTCGACTGTCAGTTGCTTTGTGTAAAAGCATCTGCAAACTGAATAAATGTAAATAACCCTGCACCAGACAGAAAGAAACAACCTAGCAACCATCCAGAACACCACGGCAACTGCATAGCAACACCTCAGCAACCATCCACAACATCCCAGAGGTGTGGTCACATTTACAGCTGCGCAAATTTTGCACGGGCAAACACCAATCAAATTTTATTTTACTTTCAGAACTCATTGACTGATGGAATATCTCTTGATTCTGTTTGTTGTCCACCCCGATATCACTTTATAAATCCCATAGTGCACCGTGTGACCTCCTTGCCCTTGAGAATATCCTGCTGACCCTGCTATAAGCGAAGTGAAATTCGACATCCTCCCAGTCCTCTGTTCCTGTGAGCCTGACTCTGCCAACAAACCCACGTGGGTAAACAACACCTCTGCCTTCTGCTCTCCACGCCTGCTGACCTCAGCTGCATTTTTTCTGCTGCAGTCGCTGACTGCATTTTGTCAGATTTTTGGTTTTATTTTCTAAAACAAAGCTTTAAGACCAACCAGAAGATGCAAACTCAATGCATCAGTTAATCAGATGAACGAGTGCAACTGTTGAGCAGTAATCATAAAAGAATAGTTCACTGGGTGAAGCAATGGTTTGAAGTTTAAAATGTCTTAATGATGAATTTGTTTCTTACAAACACGCAGCTTTTGGCTTCACAAGATGTTAACTGATGGACTGGAGTGGTGTGGATTACTTGTGGATTGTGTAATGTTTTTATCAGCTGTTTGGACTCTCATTCTGACGGCACCCATTCACTGCAGAGGATCATTGCTGAGCAACAAATGCAATGCTACATTTTCCAAATCTCTTCCCATGAACAAACAAACACATCTACATCTTGGATGGCCTGTGGATGAGTAAACTGTCAGCAAATATTCATTTTAGTCAGGACCACTTTGTCAAAGTATAGTTATTATAATTATATAGCATACAGTTAGTGTTGGCGGTATGGTTCTGTTCTGGGCAAAACTCCCCACACCTGTCCATGCAGCCATGCTTGGACAGAGCGGGGAGAGCAGCAAGTCAAACCCCCCTGGGGTACAGAACAGATCCAGTATATGCATACATAATTACAATTCACAATTTACATGAGCTGTATAAAATACAAAATACATGATAGAGAATGCTTGCAATATAGTGAACTGTATACCGAAAAAAATTCAGATTCAATTACAGGTTCAGTTAGGTGGAGTTGGGGATGGAGAAGGGAGTTTGATTTGCGAGCAGCGATGCTATAGAAGAGATGCTGAGAATGGGAATTTAAATGGACCGCAAGTGTTAAAACTGGATTGGTACACGTCAAGAACAGCTGACAGCTGAGCTTGACTGACGTGGCCTGTCTGAACTGATGCGATGCTTGATTTTTGGTGAACTATTCCTTCACTTGATTGTATTTGTCAGGCTAATGAGCAGAAAAAAAGCATGCAAGAAGAAACACATCGATGTCAAGCCTGCTGACCATGTGACACATAATCTTTGAATTTCTGGTTGTGAGAAACAGGAATTAGCATGGTGTGTATTTATATCACACTCTACTTCCCCATTTCACATACTGTCTGTCCCGAATAGTATGCAAGATTGGAATTAATATGTCCCCCGATCTTACAGTAGCATGTTGACAAATGCAGGCGAAAGTTTCCCGGATGGTTTACTATTTCTGGTGGATTTTCAAAGTTGGTATTTGATATGTTTTTGGGGTTAATATTGATTTTAACACTTTAATATATTTTACAGAGCCTGTGGCTCGATTTCTCAGAACACCTGCACAACCATTCATAAGTTTCTTCTGCTCACCAAGGCTGCATTTATTTGATCAAAAATTCAGTAAAACAGTAATATTGAGAAATATTATTACAACTGAAAATATCTGTTTTCTATGTAACTATATGTTAAAATGTAATTTATTCCTGTGATGCAAAGCTGAATTTTCAGCATCATTACTCCAGTCTTCAGTGTCACATGATCTTCATAAATCATTATAAGATGCTGATTTGCTGCTCAAGAAACATTTCTGATTATTATAAAGTTTGAAAACAGTTGTGCTGCCGAATATTTTCTGTGAAAATTTGAAAGAGAAATATTTTTTAACACTATAAATGTCTTTACTGTCACTTTCGATCAACTTAATGCTTCCTTGATCAATAAAAGTAGTAACTTCTTAAAGAGGACTCACCAGGGTGCAGAATCTCTCCGGCGGGTTCCCACAGGTGATGCCCGGCGGCTCGACACGGATGCGCATGTACTCCTTCATGGCCTGGGCTTTGGGTTGGCACGCATAATGCTCCCACACGGAGCCTTCGTCCGTGCTCACGAGAGACTTGCACAGGTCGTACTGGCCTCTTGCTCTCGCCAGCACGTGCACCAGCAGGTAGAGGAGTCCCGCGTGTGCACGCATGGCAGGCGCGCGACCGAGAGGGGATTTACGAGAGTCTGGAGAAACGGGAAAGGGACCACCGTGGGTTCAGAGGTGTGACGTGTTAACATGGAACAGCAGCGCCTGTGGTCAGGTTAAAACATCCCATAACTTCGCCACGACCATGCTTTCGTTTACTCCAAAAGGAAAAAGTCAGATATATCGAAAAATGTGCATAAATGTTTTGTTGTTATAAGTTTGAGGGGAGTTTTTGTAAAGCAAGTTTATTTTTTTGTGTATTGACTTCGGTCTTACTTCTGTGTGTTTGGACACTGTCCTGATATGTTGGGTCAAAGGTGCTGATGCTTTTACTTGGACCTACATCCATAGCAGCTCCTGGACTGCGTCTCCGCAGAGCATATTTATGTCCCGAAGGTCACATGAAGTGGGTTTCTCCTTTTCCAAGCTCAGAAATATCTGCCTGGTCGCATCCTTCACTCAGCAGCTGCTGTCCATGGTCCTGAAAGCAAACACCACACATTTTAGTGTATAACTTCACTGATCTTCTGTACACAAGCACTTGATGTCAGCCTGTTTTTTTCTAGCGCTGCTTTCTGCTGATGGTCTAATTTGCCAGGTACATGCACGCACACACACACACACACACACACACACACATACATACATACACACTTCACAGACAGACATTATATAAGGTAGGACTTTGAGGAAGAGTAGCGAAAGGAATGTGCGATATATATATATATCATACAGATATTGCACACTGATATCGTATGTTAAATGTTGCACGGTATAGTTTCCTGAATGAACCACATGTCATTTCCATTGGGAAATGGGAGGAGTGAGGAATGGTCTCACGTGCAAATACACGCATAGCGATGACATCCATTTCTAAGATTGCAAATGCAATGCATGCATGTAAAAATCAGGTAAAGTAACCATGTGCTTCACATGGTAGGATCTATTCAAGTCAAAAATATTTCATATGACTTTGTCGACCTGATTGCATTAAGACACTTTTTTCAGATCAAGTGGAAAATATATTTGCATGTAATTTTACTGTAAACAAAATATATTTTTAGATTGAATTGCATGCGCTCTAATGGTAAAATATTTAAACGTTCTACAAATAAAAATGTATGAACTGGCATTTCAATTATGGGGAAATGGTCGTTTTAAGAATGCACAAAGGATCACATTAGGTTTTATTAAAAAAGTTATAATTTAAGTGCATTTAATGTTGAGTAGTTGTTGTTTTTTAGATGTATTCTGTGCATGGGCTTTGGGAGGCCAGTTGTGGCGAACTTTTAAGTCATTTAACAGTTTATATACTGTAGGTTGGTAAATGTATATTATATGATTTAATGATATGCATTTGTCAACTTTAATATTCAACCTTACCGTAATGATTGTAATACAACTACCAGTTTTTACCTCAGATTTAACAAACACATAGTAGTCTACATAACGTCCAAATCCTTCATTAACCACAACCCGATTATTTGACAGGCATAGAAAAGTAATAAAAACTGTTATATAGTACATTTTCGTATTGCCTCACGTAAAAACCGTACAAGTTCCACTCGCAGACAGAACAGGCTACTCCTCCATACTGTAGATACTGTAATAAAACTCAAAACAAGCCTAGATATTCCTCATGCACACCCTGCAGCCAATGCAACATCCGTAATGTGACACAAAACGTGACTAAAGTTGATAACTCTGGTAGTTTAGCATCAGAAAACAGTTTGCAATCGGTCTTCCCTCTGCAGAGCGGACGGAGACGCACGGGGTGTGCCGCGCGCGCGTCCCGACACTAAAGATGAAGAACTGCGGAAGAGATGAACCAGCAAGAGGGCTGGTTTTACGTGCAAACTCGAGCAAAAGCAACTTTTTGGCGTTTCAAACATGAATCAAAAGTGAGCCGCTTTGACAGGCTCGTTTCGGAAACGGGAGCTGCGTGCGTTCATCCGGGTCGCTGAAGTAGTTGAGATGGACTCACCGAGCGCTCGACTTGCGTCCGTGTGGAAACGGCATCGCCTCCCGCAGTGAGGATGCGGTTCTTCCGTGTTTGTTTTTTATCTTTATCTCTCTCTGCCGGAGAGTTTTTTAATGCACGCTCCGTCGGTTTGTCAGGGGAGGATGGTGCCCTACTTCTGCAGGGGATGCTGAATTACCGGAGGAGGGTGCGTGAGTACTAGTGAAGTGTCCGAAAGTGAGAATGTGGACTTGTGGTGCGCGCGCTGTCTACTTTACTGGATCAGATTTGCCCTGTGTGCTCAAGGGCAGAAAGCTTCATGGCAAATCTCCCTCCCCTCTCTCTCCCTCTCCCTCCCTCTCTCTCTAATCCATTTAAGCATCACTCTCAATCACTATCTGCGGGTTTGAGTCAGGCTGGCCCGGCTGTTGAAGGGGCTGAAACTGAAGCGTCCCACTCTTGAGGCACCAGGGAATCCGCGTTTTTACGCACTCCAGACCTCCCTGCTCGGGGAAACCTCTGGTTCGCCTTTTTCCTCTTTTATTGAACGGATTCTCTCAGTTTCCTCGGACTCTCATCCAGAAATGCTGATAGAGCAACTCTCAGTACAATATTTACCATCAGTGCTCCGGGTTGGTAGGTTACAGCAATAACTTTAAAAAAAAATCTCCAAAGAGACATAAGATCCATTTTATAGTCAAATGGTTCTTCATGTCTAATGTGTTGCCAAACAATAAAAAATACAATAAAATTAAAACCCGTATTGATCACTTTGAGAGTTTAAATTTACACTTTAGTACGGTTCCCCAAAAATTATACTTAGAAAACACGCATAATGTGTTTAAAATCTGTGTTTTTTTTTTTTTTAATATAGCACATTAAATAGTTTTTGCGTTTTAAATGATAAACAGTAAGTCTTATGTTGCATAGAAAAAACTGACATGTTGGGTTTGTTTGTTAGTTAATTACTACACCTGTGGTTTTTCTACCTGTGTGAACAGACTAAAAACCACCAAAACAACAGCTGATTGCAAGACATTGAGCAAAAACAATGAAGATGTTAAAGTTCCTGCAGCATTTGAGACATACACATACAGACACTTGTTTGTTATTTATGCAATGAATATGTACCCCAATGTGTCATGTCCAATTACTTTTCGGGGCCACTGTGTGTTCTAATATGCAAATATAGTATGACAGAATTTCCATTAGGGCCAACAGGTCGACTGATTTACATCAGTTCTCTAGTAAACGAGCATTAATGCAAAGACTTAATTTAATGATTAAAAGAGAATTGGACGGCTCATTTTCAACCCTTCATGAAAGACACATCAGCCGGGCCAGCCTGAGTCAAACCCATAGATGAATTGTGATGGTAAAATAGTTTGTTTTATTTATTTATTTCCATGACATTCAGTCAAAAATTGCATAAAGATTCTCATTTATGCACCTGGATGTTTGTTTTGATCATAATTCCCATTATTCTCAATGTTGATTGTCATTATAAAGATTTATTTTTATTTGATCAAATTGTCATAAAGTATAAATAAAATATAAAAAATAATTTGTATTAAATTGGCATAAAAATATAAATGCTTAACTATAATAATAATTATTATTATGATTATTATTTAGCTTGTTTGCATTAAGTATAAGTGTGTCAGGGAAGTACTTAATAGTCATGAAAGTAATGTAAAAATTCTTAATGATCCTAAAATGCGCTTTTGTTTTTATGCAAACTATAATTCTATATTCTTACTTTAAATGTTTTGGGAGAAATTTGACCCGGACATGTTCTTTGACAGGTTTTGTGAGAGTCACCCTTGTATTTCTCAGAGCAGAATCATTTATGGAAATTGATATACAGTAGAATTCTTTTAGTTTTTTATGTGAATTTATAAAGTATGTGTAATGTTAAAGAGAGCAGAACAGAGAGAGAGAGAGAGAGTTGGCGTGATTCTGTGCTCTGGATGGTCTGTGTTGACAGGAGTGTGGATCAGATCGATAGTTTGTCCTTGCTGTGTCTCAACGGAAAGATTTCCGCATCTCTCTCTCTCTCTCTCTCTCTCTCTTTTGCTCTTGCTCTCTCAGAGCTGACTTGACTTTCCCCCTCTTGACACAAACCCTGCCTCTCTGTTACCGCTAAAAAGCTATTTATAAAAATATTTACTGAACATTAAAAGCCATGTGATTTATAAATGATTTCAATGAATCCCCATCTGAATGGTCTGACCTGAAACGCGCAAACAGGATTATCCATCTTCAATTAAATGGGAAAAAGGAAAACTCCCTTATCCCATCTCTGAAATGACGTCACAGTCTGCCAAACTTTGCTCAGGTTGACCGTCTGTTTGGCACGTCTGCTGGATGAATCAGAGGAAGTGCGTAATCCACTGGCACCTGTCACAATGTTGACATATCATGTCTTAATAAGCCATAGATTAGGGATTGTAATCAGTGAAGTCAGGCAAGGGCTTATGAAACTTCCTAACCCGTGACGTACTTATAGGTCATGAACTGCTTGTGACCTGAAAACGAGAAACTGAGTCAATGATGATGAGCAGTACGCTGATGGTTGAATTGAATGGATATGTATCTAATAAAGCAATGTTTATTGAACATTTTGGGAAGCCACAGCTTTGACATTCTGCATCCCCTTTTGTGCTCCACAGGAGGAAAAACGCCATGTGCTTCTGGAACGGCATCAGGGTGAGTAAATGATGACAGTTTTTTTGGATCAACTGTGCCTTTAAGAGTTTGGAACCATTAAAAAGAGAAAGAAAAGAAGAAAATCCTCCCCTGCATTGGCGTGAGTTGAGTGTAAGAAGCTTCAGAAGTCATTTACGCATGCACCGTTCAGCCAGACGTCGCCTGATTCAGGCCGTACACTTGGCGTCATTCACACGCCCACAAAAAAAAAACACGCCAGGCTAATTCATAGATTCATGAGTTTAGTAGGAAATGGCACTTTAGTCATGCCGTTGTGTTAATTCTGGTCCAAACATTCACAATAAACATTCTCATCATGTATGAGAGCAGGTCTGTTTTTAGACTGTGTCAGTATATTTAAAGTCCAGCTAGAAAAGGAGTTTGTGGAAACAAGACAAACACTTGTCTTAAAGTTAAGAAAACAGCCTTGCAAGTGTCCTTTAATTTGATGTACTGAATTCCAGTCATGTTTAGTTTGAGTGCTTGAGCAGTTTGAAGAGATGTCTGCAGTTTGAAGGTTACACATACAGTAGATAGAAGGTGGAAGTTTTTGCTGGGTGGTTGCTGAAGACATATGCATGATTGTGACGGAAAGAGAAAGAGAGCGAGATAGACAAATGTACTGATAGATAGATTGATTTTAAGGATATGTTTACGGGTTTATGTATTTGTTAGCTGGACTAAAATAAGTATTTCTACAATCAACTTAATTCAACATTGCTTAAATGCAGAGAGTGAAAGTTGAGGATTAATGTGTAAAGTTTGGCTGTGTGTGTGTGTGTGTGTGTGTGGCCTGCTTGGCAGACCTTCATGAAGGTATACCCTTCACAAGCACACCCCACTGTGGCCTGACTCTGTTCATCTCTCTCTCTCATACACATATTAGAAGACTGACAAAAAGCACGAGATCAGACTCCAATGCAGCAGGACTAGAATGCTGGATAGAAATCAGTATTTTATGCAGTTAAGAGTCTTGGGCTTTAGTGCGTGACCGGCAATGTCTTGCCTGAACTTCTGGGACTCCCAACTGAACCAAAGCGTAAAACACACACACACACACACACACACACACACACAGAATCGAGATGCACGCGCGCTCCTTTGTTCAGGACTGTAGATGTAGATTCACAGATGAAGTGTTGACTCAGGATTGACACAGTGTTATACAAACATCTCGACATTGACATTCTGGCCTCATAATGCAGCGTGCAGTGTGCGTTTGTACAAGAGAACAAGAGAGAGATTTGACTTTTTCTAAAGAAAATGTGAGTGGTGCGTCCTAGCTACAATGCTGGGATGTTGTGGGTGGTTGCCAGTGCGTTGCGTTACGGTGGCTAAGTTGCTCTGAGTGCTTGTCAGCACGTTGTTATGCTGGAATGTTCTGGATGGTTCAAGCCCGTAGCAAAAACATCTATATACTTAGGGTTAAGGGCTTGTCTAAATCATTAACCCTGAATCTAAGCAATAGTGATACTATATTAGGGTTTCATGATTAATCAAAATAGAACTAAAATCAAAATATAACATTTTGCATGTTTCCCATTTAAGCGTGCCACTGTGTTCTTTTACACACAATCATTATAAAATTAAATTATTATTATGTATTGTAAATTCAATTTTATTTTATATTATATTATTATCATTATTTTTCCTTTAAAAACTCATTTTTATTTTACAATGAAATATTACAATAGTAATATTTTTATTTTAATATTTTTGAGTAATAATAATACATTATTATTATTATTATTATTATTATCATATTAAAATATAATCACAACATTTTGGTCCAAATTTTGCAGACCTAATCCAGGGTTATTATAGTTAACTAAAAAAAATATTTTTTTTAATTCAAATTTTTGATGTTGAAATAAAATAGGTTAACTGAAAAAAAAAAAAAAAAAATTGATAAAACTATATAGACATATTTAAAAACAACAAAAACTAAAAATTATAAAAGCAAAACTAAATTACTAAAACTTTAGCTAAAATTAACATGAAAGCAGAAAATATAGAAATAAAATCGAATTCAAAATATTGACAAAATAGTATAATAGTATCTCAGTGATACTAAACTAACACTGCCCTAAACAGCAAACCTGGAGCTTTTTATAAATCACAATCACAATCTTTAGTTTAGTTAGATTTTTTTCCCCCCCAAATCATGCAGCCATAGTCTGTTTATTTTAATTTTCACCAAATCTTGTTTCTGCTCAACCATTTGAAACACAGACACTCTTGAAATAGAGGCAGTAACAAGTAATAAGGAAAGTAATAATGAGCCTTATTTCTGTTTAAAACTTAAAAAGTCAGTGTTGTTATGTCAGCATTTAAGCACGGTTTAGTCCACACCATCAAACCAAACAGCTGATCTCCGCTCTTTTGGTTCACAATAACTGTGTTTTCAAATTCTCATGTCAATATTTATGAGGCGTGATGGAGCTCTGCTAATGTCCTTATACTGAATGTTTTAATAGGATGTCAGGATTTGCTTCTGACCCGTGTGAACTCAAGAGGGTGAAATATAAGCTCTCCTAGGTTCACGAAACGGTCGTCCATAAAATGCATTGCTGTTCTGTTGTAAGTCATCTTAAAGATTCCTAAA